CATTTTTATCTTGCACGTGTCTCGCTTTGAAGGGAAATAAAAAGCCCTAAAGCTAAATATGAAAAAGCAAACTCTTGTTTGCTGAATTCTTAGTGGTTGTTTAAGCTGTGATAAAAGGTACCGGTGATTTCCAGACAAAAGACGAGGATCCTCTGCCCATATGGCTGCCCTGTGGGACTCTTTTGTGGAGTGATGGATATACTCCCGTAACGTTAAAGGCTGTCATCTTTAAAAGTTTTTTTTTTTTTTCCTTGCAGGCCACCACACCTTCCCCCTTCCCTCCCCGCCTTCCTTTACTGCCACGAGATGGTCCTATCTCCAAAGTGTGCCTTTCGTTTTGAACACAAATCCTCAATTCCCCTTGTCCCCTACACACCCCCACCGGTTCCAGACTTTGTATTCTGAAAAGGGGGCATCTCAAATGTCCTGTGCAGGCGCAGCAGCTGCCACCGCGACCACGCCGTTCTTTCAGAAGTTCAACAAAGGGAGGGGAGTGTTTTCTCCCCTTTTTCCTTTTGACAGGGGGCTCTGTGCACTTTTGTGTTTTAACACCACCCCCATACACTTTGAGTCTTTGAGTTTAGGAGCAGGAGAGGAGGCTGGAGCTTTTGTCTTGCTCATGGATGGGGGGGGAGCCGCTCTGCAGCTACTCCTTTCAACCATCTGATACGGGTCCTCTGCACCCCTCAGGGCCCAAGCTGAGCCCGACAGCAGAGCCACGGCACAGCTGGCCAATACAGGCAAACTCCCTGACCCAGACCCCCTAACATGCACGAAAGACCACAACCGATCCAGCCTAGTCCAACACCATCAAGAGAGACTGTGATGGGTGGTAAGCCTCCAGCAATCTTCAAGAGCCATAACAATGTCTGGCTGATAGAGCTGCATTGTGTCAACAGTTGCTTGCATAGAACAACTCTGCAAACCTTTGATCTGGCACTGACATGAGGCTGACTCTTCTGTAACGAGACAATATATTGCGTATACACATACACGCATGCTTTCTTAGCAGTGCAAGTGTAGACGCAACCTAGTGATCAACACCTGATAAAGGGACAGGTCACCTAATAATAAAAATTCTCTGATCATTTAATTAGACAAACTCTATCATGCAGGACACAAAATAAAAATGAAAAGGAAGGATGTTTTAACTGTGTTTGCTTATGCCATGAAAGGATTGGAATTCAAAATTGAACCGCATTGACATTCATGATATGGACAAAACCAACATTTTTCAAATTATTGATTTGAATTTATGTTCCACGGAAAAAAGGAATGTAATACAGCTTTGATAGATTATCCACATGTCTTTGGATAATTTTTTAAACTATTTTTAGCAAGCTAAAGCTTTAACTGCAAATTTTAAGAGGAATCCATGCAATCGAATTTCCCGATAATATTTCACTTATGTTTAATTTGGTCACTTAAATTCACCATGTTGACCCACAGAAAGCTGCTTAGTTTGAAAATAAGTTCTGTAGCTGGCCTCATTCATCACTACACTATAGATAATCGACCTTTTTTTGCCTACAAGTTTGGAATTAGCCATCCAGTCCCATCATAATTTGTTTTCAACTACTAAAAATGAAATGCTAAACTTTGATATTTGCATCATCTTTCGCCAAGCTAAGACTTTAAGTTGTCTGCTAAATCAAAATGAGCTTTATCGAGAGTAAAGCTCCATGTTGAATGTTTGAGCAGGTGATGTGGAGGCCCTGGCGCTCGTGCAGGACTGTCTGCATTAGGCAGGAGGGCTGACCCTCTGACCCGGTTCATTAAGACAGCTGCCTCACATAATGAGTTATTACCATACACTGCAGACTGGAGCCTCTCTTACCACACACTATAATCTACAGGCCTGCTTTACAGCCTGCCAGGGCAATGAGGCAACACACGACCACAATCAACTGAATCCAGTCTATATTGTTGTTGAATTTGTACATTTACTTCAACTTCTTAAATCTCAAAACATCTCATTTTATAATACTCAAAAGTCAAAATACTTGATTTATTTGTGAAATTTACTTGCAATTTCTAAGTAAAAAAAATGTTTCTAGTGTACTAGAAGTGCACTGTAGTGTTTACAAACATTTAAAAAAAAAACGTGCTGGTTTTTTTGGCATCACAATTAAAACATTCCTTCGTTGCTTGTTCCCTCGTCGTTTTGTAACACCCTAGGGCTGGTTCTTGATAAGATGTTTGTTGGGACAACAGAAATACCAATGGCGGTATCCTCGGCAACAGGAGAGCCCTTCCCGATTCACCCTTCACCACCATCTGCTGCTGTTCCTGGGGTGACTCCACTTTGGGAGGAGGGGATGAGGGCTGGCTGAAGGGGGGGTGTAGTGCAGTGCTCGTCCATACAGACAGCTTGCTCCTATATCAATCAGTATCTGGACGTGACAGCAGACCTCAACTCCTGGACATGTGTAGGCCCTCCCTCAGTCCTCGAAAGTGGCCCATCAGTAGAACACTCCCCTATTGGGGGTCTTTGTGAGGGCCACTCAGTAGTGGGGGCTGAGTGGCAGATAACCCAGGGGGGAATGGTTGTATAGGGACTGGCTTGTGCCAGGCACAGGGCGGCCCTGTCCCGCTTCCTCTCCTCCCACTGCTAGGCACCTTCAATCCGGCTCATTATGCACAAGAGCAGATGGAGCCCGTTTTAGTGGCCTATAGTCTCTGGGTAGGTTTTAGGTTTTAGGGCTTGGCTTTATTTGTATTCTGCAGGCGCTGGCTGTCTGAAAGAGCACAATGGAGCTCGCCTGCATGCTGACGTATTGTTCTGCAGGGGATTATTTGATTGCTTCTTTATGCTTTTGGTAGTTTAAAACAACAAAGAGCGAGTCACAGGGGTAATGCAACGTCTTTCTGTTCCAATGAGATGAGTAGTTTAGTGAAGGAGTTGTTTGTACGTTTTGTTATATCTTATATAACTTCTGCAATCATGCACATGTATTTTTAATGTGTAGATAGAATAAGAGTATGCCTTTACTTTTTAAGTCATGCTATGCTTTATTTAAAACTATTTCAAACAGAATTGCTCAAATTTCACATTTATTTTACATGCTGCAGCTTTTGCTATACATGAATTGAGATACTTCGTGGAATCATTGATTTAAAAATATATATTTTTTTAATTTCGTAAGTCTGTGGACACTGAAAATAAATACTGAATTGTTTCCTTCTGTTTCAAAACATAATCAAAAGTTTGAGATTCTATGGGGAAGTGTGGGAGGGTGACCAGATGGCACTTTCTAAACCAATCAGATGCTGTTGTTAGGAAGGTTCTGTCATAAGAGCCAAGCAGAGGAAATCACACTTCACAAATATAAGCAAGGAGTACAGTCGTATTAGAGGTTTTATTGAACTAATGCTGAAATTTAATTTAAGGTCATGCTATTTTTTTCTTTAATCAGATTTCATTTGAGGCTAGTACAAAAATAGATGTAGTTAGTCATCTTCGCCAAATATTCTTGATCTATCGCAATTGTGGAAAAGTTAAAATTGTAACTTGCACAATTGTGGAAAAGAAAAATTACATTTCTGTTGAAATTTAAACATTTTCTGTCTCACAATGTGATTCAGTAATATACTTTAATAATGTGTAAAATTGTATGTAGAATCGATTATATTTAATAATTTTATAAATGGACAACACTTAACATCCATGTTGAATTTTAAAAAGAAATATGTGTAGCAAGCATTGATGTAAAAACCTTTCTCAACACTTGTAAAGGTTCATCAAATGCAATCTTCAATAAGTGACTAGATGCAATAGCCAACTCATATTTGCATAAAATGCTGTTATTAACTAACAAACACTTGCATGTCTCATGTTTTGGCCATCCATTAGCAGTCAAGAGAGAGAGAGAGAGAGAGAGAGAGAGAGATGAAGTGGTCATTTTCAGTTAAGTCATGGTCAGCAGTGTTGTTATTTAGGTGTGTCCAACATTGGCAATCTGCTAATTAAACTAAATGTTGTTGTTTTTTTCTTTTTTGCATGCATTCATTAGCCTGGCTGCGCCCTCCTACGCTCTTCCGCTCAATTTCATTTAAATGAAATGTACTAGAGTCTGGTTGAACCAGGCTATCCATTCATAATTCTATAATCTAAATGTTTTGGGAGTTAGTTTGGACTGATTAGCTACATCTTCATTGGTGAGATCAGGGTTGTCCCGCATTGGCTGAGCCTCATGATTGGTTTTGGCCTGTGCTTCTGCTGAGCAAATTACTAATGAAATATGTATCAAAAAAACTTTCATTTGAAGATCTAAATGTGATTGGTTCAGGTCATATAGGAGATGTCAATTTCACTCATCACTCAACTTGCATAGCAATCAGTCTTATTTAGAGATAAATGGACAGGCATAACAATTTTGCACGCCTTTGGGTGGCTCTGTCAAGTTTTAGTATGGAACTCAACTTACAAGAACTGTGAATGCACATAATGCATTCAGTTTACTGCATACACTCAAAATGCTGGGATGTTTTAACCCAAAAGTTGGGTCAAACCCAACTTTGGGTCAACCCAACCCAAAAATGTAACCCAATGGCTGGGTTTGTCCATATTTGACCCAAAGTTGGGTTAAAAGAACCCAGCATTTTTTTAGAGAGTGTAATGTTTGTGTTGATATGACAAATCAAATGCTTATTCAGGTTACCCAGGAATTCAAGTAAAAATGAGGGATAAAAGTCATTGTTTCACAGTTTCCTGATAAGTCAGTAGTACAAATATACAAAAATAAGCTGCTGCACAAACAAGATGAATTTAAACTATCTTTTATTTGTATACATTTTTTTTGTCTCATACAAAATATGTTAAGTGAATTCATATAGGCAAAATTAATCAGGTTCACAATTTTTTTTCATTTCCCTTTGTCTACAAAAATTATCAGCATTTTTAAATATTTCTTTCTTCATTTTTTAAATAAAAAAAAAATCTAAAGTTAAACCTTTAGAAAGAGTTACGTTATTATTATTATTATTATTATTATTTTCACTTTTTGTCATATTTATATTTCTAAAGTGAAACCTTTAGAGAATAAGACAATTCTGGAAAGTGGAAAGCACATTGCCGACAATAAGGCACGTTATATTGTGCAGCAATTTCATTTTTAAAAACGTCCGAGATGTTAAAGTCCATTTTTAAAAACGTTGCTTCGACGCACCGCCGCGTCCCCTGCGTGTCCAACGCATGCGATATTTGCTCTGTGTAACAGAGGCAAAACTCGCTTCTCCTTTCTCTCCAAACCTCATCCGCACAAAGAATGAGGGCCATTGTGTCGCTCTCGTGGCATACCTGACCTCATTCACATAAAGAATGAGGATCATCTTGGCATGGACGGGACGAGGAACGACGTAACCGCGAGGGCCACTCGGGCCTGCCTCGCGCTGCCTGGACGGTTCAGCCTCCTCAGGAGCATCCAGGGATGTGGAAACATCAACATCCTTGCTTCAAAGGATGAGTAGAGTATTCCTCAAGGTTTACAGCATCTCAACAGAGAAGAGTAAAGGTCCAGATCAACGCTCGGGGAGAGTGATCTCAGGAACCCACTCGTTATAACTGCGACTTTCTTCACAGAACAGGTGAAGCTTCTCCAGAGCTGGATCCTCCCAGGAGTCCTCAGCTGGCTTCTGTTAAAATAGAGCGGAAGAGTTTTAAAAACCATGTTTTGGGACAAATACTTAGCTTGATATTGCACTTAAATGTTACTTTTGAACATATTCTCAATCTCACCGTTATAAGGACACAATGAGCGTCCTCGAGTTGACCCTTGGCACCGACAAGAGCGTTGAGACGTTTCAGGTCGTTTACTCTGACGATGCTGATGTCGTTATCAAAGCAAAACGCTTGGATCAGAGTGAAGTGAATCTGGAGAGCGATGTCACACTCAAAGTCATCAGTGGCCAAAAGGCAGAAAGACACACTATCAGGGTCCCTGTGAACACAAAAATGTGGTTGAAATGAGTTAATCCGCACAGTATAGCACAATACGGATGAATGTGCAAGACATGGGTTAGCCTATTATCGCATGGAAGAGTTCCTCCAAACTTACTCGTTCATTGTTTTTGCGCACTCGTAGACGCCAACAGTGAGGCGACCCTCCGCCTTGGCAGACAGCAGGGCTTCGGACAGGGATTTTCCTTCATTAATCATCTTGGTTTGGATTGAAGTATGCAGTAGCTGCTTGGAGTACAGTCAGTAATGGCTCGAGCTGAGCGAGATAAGTGAGTTTCCACCTGGCACGCGACCCGTACTTATAGTGGGATAGTGGCACGCGTTTTCACCGCGCGTTCTGATTGGCTGTTCAGAACAATAAAGAAACGGACATATCCAAGGCGCGTGCCTTTAGAGATGCATGACATCTATAGAACTGTAAGAAAGGATCAAACTCTGATCCTTTCACTTTTGCCCTTAATTAAACCGATCATCTTTTCAACTCAAAAGACATGGCATAATTCAACTAGCTGAAAAGTAATCCACGCGTGTTGCATGGGTGGTTGATATGTGACTAAAAGTTTACATGTTCTAGCTGCGGTATGACATTATATTATTCCATCAAACTTTTTTAAACAGCTTTTTGCTGTTATAATTATCGTTCATGGAATATTGTACATTTTCAAATTAACTAGGCCTAGTGACTGAAAAAAAGAGCTAATTAGTGGGAAAAACTTCAATCTACAATTTCAGAACGATAAACTCCCTTATTACATGCGTGTAAAACAAATCTATAGCCTCTATATTGACGTTAAACAAAACTATCAAAAACAATTGAAAAGTGAACTAATCAACATGTTGCTATCTACATCAGTTTTTCCATAAAATTTATAAATGTGTATTATGGCGACGTATTACAAATTGGTGATTTTATCAGACGTTTGCTGCTGATTTGACATGTTGAAAGTTATTTAATACCGAAGATATTGGAGATAGCCTTTACATACGCGTGGCTAATTTGCATAACCTGACTTACGGCGCGTGGCATCTGGACGTGCTTCTCTTTTGCTATGGAAACACTCCCCATCTGCTGATGGGGGAAGATAAAGGATCAGCTGAGCAAAGTTCAGCTGTATTTGGACTTATAGCCTACCTATTTATGCCTCCATGCAGGCACAACACTTTTTATGGTGTCTTTAAATAATAAAACGTGATATACATTTTCTTAACTGCATTTAAAACCATTGGTTTGTTGACTGTGTGCTGTAGCTTTGCCTGTTTGGATTTTTTTTTTTTAAATCGTCTTGAACGCATGAACAAACTTTTGCCTGATCATGGCCTATAGAAAATGAAGTGGGTTTGCAACAGATGACTGTGCTTATCTGACTGCAGCTGCGGGAGGGACTAAGTAAAAGCAATTGTTCGATTAGTCTGCTTTGCGCTCGAGCAGGTTTGTCTTGGAACACCTGTCACTCTCGCGCACGCACTAAGGGGGGTCGGAACGGGATGCCCGGACTGCAGATGTGATACTAGAACAATGCATCCGATCCGTTGCAAGTTTGTTGGAAAAGTCTTTTGCAAAATCCGTTGCGCATTTTCTTTTTACTTATTTGCTTTGCATGCCTGTATAAAGTAGGCTACAAACCTCTGTGGGATGTAGCCTAGGCTTTTTTTTTTGTTTTTTTTTTTTTGCCAGTGGTTAAAGAGATTTTTATGTTATCATTTATATTGTTTGCATGAATGAAACTCAACTCAACCCGCAAAATATCGGGAAAACATTACACCCATTCTGTTTGTTTTTCCTGCTGCAGCTTCACAAAATTTCAACTGAATATGTTCATGCTCCATTTTGAAGTAGACACAAAAAAACTTGCAGACAATAGTCATGTGCTACTGTGATGCGAGGGGCCAGTGGGGGCATCCTAAATGTGGCCTCTCCATCTGCTCCTCTTCTGCAGGGTAACAATAGGCCTGCATCAGTCATCGTCAACATGTTATCTTGAGCCTCTCAAATAACCAAAAACACTTCTCTTCGCTGTTTGCATTCAGTATCTGTGATTCTGAGGTTTTTATTGACATTGACATGATTCAGTACATATATCAGGATGGTTTTTTCCCTCTCTCTCTAATGATTTATATGCAGCTTTAAAACCACCTGTGCCCAAAATGATTAAAATGTCAATGCATATGAAACGAGTGGTTTATTTACACATCATTAAATGCGTTATTTTTTTGCAAATGGAGAATATAATAATATAAATATTGCTGAATTTTCAGAGTGGCCTAGATTTGGAAAGCTGCTTACGTGGTCTGGGTTGGTCCTAGCAGGCCAGATTGGGCAGCGGGGCGTCATGGCACGCGCATCCTATTTGCATTTGTAAAGGCGTCTAATAATAGAAGTTCTGAACTAACAATAGGGCCGTTTCAGTGTGTCCACAGATGGCCACACACTCCACCTGTCTTTTGCGCTGAGGGAGGGGGATGCATGCGATCTCTTATCCACATTTGCCAACTTTCACTGATACATTCTCTGCTAAAATATACCCTTTACTAAAGTTCACATAACATTCAATTAATTGTTTGTATTAGTGTAATTTGATCTTCTGTAATATTTCACTTTAAAACACATTGCTAAATACCTGATTGATAGTCTAAGCTCTTAAAGAGAAATGTAGGCAAAGTAGCTATGACACAGTTATTTGAATCTTTTGAAGAGAGTGAGGTGAGATATTAGATTTTTGTTCGTGTAAACAGTTTGTCGGGAGATAATAGAGCACCTTTTAAAACATCTAAACGCACAAAATCAAGCAAAATGAATTTACAGATATATGTGATTGATAATAAAAAAAAGTAATAACGCATTAGCCTAATGCATTTGGTTTTATAAGATGCTAAAATAATCGAAATAATTAGTTGAAGTCTGCAGCAAGCTTCACAAAGTAACATTATAGCTTTCATCAATCTGCCACGAGCCGGAGTGTGACGATAACATTAGCATACCAATGCACCATTCAGACGAACCAATCAGAAGACGCTTCTTTCATAGCCACCACGAGCCGAACGGTATAAAGGCAGCGAGCACGCTCCGTTAGAGCACCAATCCTTTCGGATTACATCCAACTTCAGTTCTGCTGTCTGCTCCTTGTGGAATTACAACAAGCATCATCATGACTTTTGAGGAAGTGCTCATCCAGAAAACCAGCGAGAGAGCTCAGTGCACTGGACAAGCACTGGAAGAGGTTTTGCTTTCTGCCAAAGCAAACGAAAACCTTACCATTGGCGTTTACGAATCGGCCAAAATTATGAATGTGTGAGTATGCTGTCCATTTTCTTCTTTCATGCTTCCTTCTTTAATAAAGCACTTCGACTGATTTAGTTGCTTACACGTGATAATAATTAGCTTTTTCCTTGTATTTCAGTGACCCGGACAGTGTGTCTTTCTGCGTCCTGGCAATGGATGAGAATTTTGAGTGTGACATCGCTCTCCAAATCCATTTCACTCTCATCCAAGCCTTCTGTTTTGACAACGACATCAGCATCGTCAGAGTGAATGACATGCAGCGTCTTTCTGAGATTGTTGGTGACAAGCCTGAACAATTTGAGGATGCTCACTGCGTGCTCATCACGGTATGTATAGAAGTAGCCTAAACAATTTACTCTCTTTGGCAAAAGCAGAAACTATAGCCTATGTGTGCATTCGCAACGTGTTTGGTGTAATGCTAAATTGCATTTTATTATCATCACAACAGAAGCCAGCTGAGGACTCATGGGAGGATCCAGCTCTGGAGAAGCTTCACCTGTTCTGTGAAGAAAGTCGCAGTTATAACGAGTGGGTTCCTGAGATCACTCTCCCCGAGCGTTGATCTGGACCTTTACTCTTCTCTGTTGAGATGCTGTAAACCTTGAGGAATACTCTGCTCATCCTTTGAAACAAGGATGATGATGTTTCCACATCCCTGGATGCTCCTGAGGAGGCTGAACCGTCCAGGCAGCGCGAGGCAGGCCCGAGTGGCCCTCGCGGTTACGTCGTTCCTCGTCCCGTCCATGCCAAGATGATCCTCATTCTTTATGTGAATGAGGTCAGGTATGCCACGAGAGCGACACAATGGCCCTCATTCTTTGTGCGGATGAGGTTTGGAGAGAAAGGAGAAGCGAGTTTTGCCTCTGTTACACAGAGCAAATATCGCATGCGTTGGACACGCAGGGGACGCGGCGGTGCGTCGAAGCAACGTTTTTAAAAATGGACTTTAACATCTCGGACGTTTTTAAAAATGAAATTGCTGCACAATATAACGTGCCTTATTGTCGGCAATGTGCTTTCCACTTTCCAGAATTGTCTTATTCTCTAAAGGTTTCACTTTAGAAATATTAATGTGACAAAAACAAAAAAGAAAAGAAAAAAAGAAAAAGATAAATTAACTTAAAAATCCCAAAAGGTTTATATTGATATAGAAGTGAAGAAAAATATTTAAATATGCTGTTTCAAAGCTTTGCATTGTAGAAATAATAGAGCATACAAACAATAAATGATGTTCAAATGAATAATTGTGTCATGTGTTCTCTTCAGCAAATGACTGCATTCTCAACACACTCACACACCATATTTGATATGGCCTATATTTCGTAAATAAAAACGAGGCGGTGCGTTCAGTCCGTTCATAGGTTTTGAAGATTATGAAATAGGCCGATCTGGTCTTGTTCAACTTAGACGGTATTGAAAAACACACCAATTTCCTAGACAAAATAGTCAGGCTGTGTTAATGTGTTAAACTTCACTGCACGCTTATTCTTCGGGCTCATTTTTATTAGCGAACAACAATGGCTTCTGTAGTTAAAATATGTCAGTTCACAAAGTTTTCTTTTTGGAAGTATGACTCTGGATTGGGGGCAGCATATAGTGTCAGCTGCCATCTGCAGCCGCTGGTGATCTGCATGTGTAAAGCTACAGCACAATAGCAGCGCGCTGTCCCATTAAATTGGGGGCCACAGCACAAGGAACTCATTGTTACCTCGGCAGATGTCTGAGGCACGACGCTACTCCATCTGCCAAGCAGCGCAGATGGGAGGTAAAGGCGGTTTCGCGGGGTGAGTGTTGGGCTGCCAATCCTATGGCTCCCTGTCAGTTGCTTTATTGTTTACAAACCGCCCATGGCTTCTGCACGGATTGCTGCGCCTCTCAGTGTTGAGAGAGGGGCTTCAATGAAAGCACAAATGAGCTGCAAACTGACTATGTAGGGCTATTTAGTGAAAGTTTGTACACAAAATGGAGAAAAAGCAGTAAGGGCTGACAGACGTTTTAAACATTTTTATTCGCAAAAATAGAAAACAGCTGGCTGACAAGACTGAAACATAAATATGACATATGCCATATAAGCTTATAACAGTTAATTACAAAGCAACTCCCACAAATTTAGGCTGAGGATTTAATATATATATATATATAGGCTATATAGCCTCATGTTGTTCCACATCTGTACAACTTTATTCTTTGAAACACAGGATATTTTTAAAAATGTTAGTTATTTTGTCCATAACAATTAATGTCAATTGGCTCCAGTATTGTTTTGGACCCAATTGACTTTCATTGTTTGGACAAAAAAAAAAAAAAAAAAAAAAAAAAAAAAAACCTATCCATTTAAAGGTGCAGTAAGCAATTTCCTGTAAAGGCTGTTGATATTTTAATTTAGATCACCAAAAACAAACATGGCCCTACTCAAAAAGATCACACCCCAATTTTGATGCCTCACATTTACATACGAGACAACTATGGCGAAACCTGCTGTGCCTGCTGCCCAAGGGTATGATGTCATCAACAAGTTAAAGCAATTTGTATTACTATAATAACTCTGGTTGAACGTCTCATTGTTATTTAGCTCCTCTACTCCTTTGATAACTAATATTTTACAAACGTGACAAGATTAAGGGGTTATAGCAATCAAAAAGGGAACCAAAAGAAAAAAAAACATATTAGGAGTATATTATCTCACTTTGAGAGCTGATATTGACACGGGCAGTTGAGGAGGTCTAGACGTTCCGAGTCTTGCGTAGCCAGACCTCCAGACTGACTGGACTCCATCGCAACTTTCATTGGACAAAGTCTGCCCAAGAGGCTGTCTAACTGACATGTAATGCAACCAATCAGTTTGTTTTTTGTTACACGTCGTCATGTTTAGGTGCCTGAAAATGTAAAGTCGATGTGCCTTGCCTACAACAACAGACTGGTGTGCATCTAATGAATTATTAATCAAGAACGTAATGCAAGTTTACTGCAACAATTGAGCCTCGAACTTCACATACTTTTGAAAACCCAGCATTAGTTGATCCCGGTAAGCGCTCAATGTTACAGTTGTAAACACGTCGGCTTTCTTTTTCCATGAGGAGGTTTGGCATCATGACGGCTTTGTTTCCGGGCGGCCGGTTAAAGAACGCAACACACACATCTAAACTCCTGAAGTGTTTCCAGTGTGCCAAATGCATCAGATCGCTTACTGCACCTTTAAGAAAGAACGCAAAGTTTTGAGGAGTGCCGTAGATTCCTGTATGCATAAAGACTGTCTCTTTTAGGATCTTTGACGACTCCACTGATTGTAGGCACAAACTCGGCTCCCCTGTTTCTCTTAACTCTGTGCAAGAGTATGCGGTAAACCCCTATAATGGGACTGCGAATGCGCTTTCCTTGGTTATTAATAATATGTTCCTGAGTGACTCCCAGTTTCTCCAGGATACCTTTTACCTCCTCCTGATCTCCGTCTAACTCCCCTGGACCGGCCTCGACCAGATGAATGGGGTTGAGCTGGTAAAAGGGAGGAATCGGGCGGAAGAGTTCCACTGGCAACAGCCACTCGCAGCCCAACATCTGGTCCAGTGCGCATCGCTCTAACGGTTCTGGCTTCAGTATCCCTCGGATCAGCCGCTGACAAGGAGCAGATACCCAGGTTGGCAGGACATAGGCTCCGTCCAGCACACTTTGGCGCAACTTGGCCACAGTGTCAGCACGGAATGGCAAGGTGCCAGTAACCATGAAAAAGAGAAGGACGCCCATTGCCCACACATCCACAGGTGGCCCGATGTAAGATTCGTCTTTGAAGAGCTCCGGAGCTGCATAAGGAGGAGAGCCGCAAAACATGTCTAGGGCTTGGTTGCGATTGTTCACTCTCTTGCTGAAGCCAAAGTCGGCCACTTTAATGCAGGAGTTAGTTGTATAAAGAACATTTTCAGCCTTCAGGTCTCGATGGATGATGTTTTTCTCGTGCTGAAATGAACACACATGCAAATATATAAATTCAAGAAATTCAACATTATCAGTTCGATGACATACTCTACACAATATTGAAATGGAAAAAAAAAACAATTTAAAAATATTTTAGAAAAGTAGTCTCATATTAGTTCTATATTATTTTGAAAAGCTTTTTAAAGAAAAAAAATACTTCAATGCTTGAAATAACATCATTTTGATATACACATCATAAATTATTATAAATGTCAATTAAATTTGAAAAAATCAAAATATTAACACACAAGATTTTTTTTTCTGAGACATTATATTAAAAGATCATGCTAAACTACTTCAGACTACTTTTTCAGAGTTGAGTTTGTTTCCTTATGATTGTTTTGACATTCAAATATCAAAATTAATTTGAATGCAGAAATGTTAGACATGCTGTTCATAGGAGAGGTGTAGTTAAATTTGGTCCAAAGTGGACCAAAATGAGCCCATTTAATAGGTTTACTTTACTTATTATGACTTACTATTGATGTGTTTTCTAAAATATAGAGGACAATGTATTTGAGTCTGACCATGTATTTGACTGCTGACAGGACTTGGGCGAATACAATCTTGCTGTCTCGGTCAGAGAGTTTTCCTTCAGAGCTGATTCTGGTGTGGAGGTCTCCTCCTCCAGCGAACTCAAGAACCAGGTACAACCGACTTGGCGTCTCCAGAACCTCATAGAGCTGCAATACGTTTGGGTGATACAAGCTCTCCATGTTGGAGACCTCTCTGGACAGCATCCTCTGGGTCTGCAGATCGAGCCTCATCTTATCCATGATCTTAATGGCAACCTTGTCTAAGGAAATGCGTGCAGAGTCAAATCTGAATAACGTCATTGCACATTAATCCTGTTACTTTCTTAAATCTGACCTACTTTCACCATTTCCTAAAGACAAAGTGTTTGTTTACAACCACTTTGATAATTAAAAATTAGATTATAGCCCGGAAAGTACTGCGTAATTAAAGCGATTTAACCTTCGGTAATTATAGTGTACCTATAACGCCCTCACAATGTAAGTATAAGGGAACAATATTTTAAGTTTGGGGAATAAAGGGGTAAAAACCAGGGGAATTAAAGAATTATTTATACTGTAAGTATTAGAGAACTAAAGGATGCTTTTCCTACTATTATGATATAACAATCTTACATTTGGGAGCAATTTAGCAAGAACATACACTGCATATACCTTTTTGAAATAATGGTGAACCAATACACACTGTAAATTACAGGGTCAATTTTTTTTTACAAAAGTGCACTGAAAATTATTGCAACTTTTGCTTAAATATTGGGGAAAGATACTCTTGTTTCATGTAGTGGTGCTTGTTACTGTTCCATGTAGTTACAGGGTAAGTACAATAAAAATGCATAAACAGTTTTATATCACTGACTTGGAAACCTTTATTTATTATACAAGCACCACTTGTAACCACATCAGACAAGATATATTTCCCAGTATTTAAAAAAATTGCAATAGTCTTACCTTTTCTTGCCTTGAAACATGTTAGCCCAAACTTAAACATCTGCACTTTTGCGATCAAAAAAATAAATAAAGAATTGTATAAATACCTATATATGTACCCTGTGATTTAAAAAAAAAAGCCTATAGTATGTATTGGTACACAATTATTACAAAAAAGGTATGCCGTGTATGTTCTCGCTAAATTGATTGTTGTATCATAATGATAGAATAAGTACCCCTTAGTTCTATAATACTTACAGTATAAATATATTTTTTAATTCTCCTGGTTACCCCTTTATTCCCCAAACTTTACCCTTAAAGTTACACTGTAAATTCTGTCCTGTAATATAAAGCCAAAAATCTCATACCTTTGGTGAGGGCGTGGATGGCCAGTTTGACCTTCGAAAAGTTCCCACAGCCGATCTGACCACGGACTTTGTAGAAGCCCACCCTTCTGCCCACCGCCAGCTCCTTTATGGTGTCTTGGTCTTTGCACATTTCCAGCGTTAATTTTTCCAGGGGTGTCAGGCGCTTGGAAGGGTCTTCGTCTTCCTCATTCTCTGACCCACATTCTGAGCTGTCTGTCAGAGTGTAAAGATTATGCAGATGCGCCTGTGGCGACACCTGAATTGGGCTTGCAGGCATTTAGCAGCAGCTTAATGCTAAAAAAACAGGAACCAAGAGTAAATAGAAGCAAATTAGTTACAGCGCACAATATTTGCTTCCATGCTTAGAAATGAATGTGCGATGCATAAAAAATATATCTAATCTTCTTGTTCTACAGTAAGATAAATGCATATAAGCCGTAAAGCAGTGAATTCTGTGAAATTGTTCTTTAACAAACAGAATCAAAATGTATAGCTGGCATGAACATGTAACTGCAGCCTATGCTAACGCTAATCAAATAGACTCATTTCAGCACTAAATGCATTGAATACACTTCAAGAACATTTAAAAAGTTAACAAGCATGTTGAAAACCTTTATTGATTAGAACACTGCTCAACATTAGAACATGTAAAATCATTTATCTTACCGTTGTGCTCTCAGTAGACCAATGCATGGCTGCTTTTCTTTTTCATAAGATCAGAAGCTAAAGAATATCTCCACGTTTATACTTTAAGATCTGATCTAAATAAGTCAGAGTAATATTGAACTTCGTTTGCAGGTTAAAAAAAAATAGTCACATTAAGTTATTGTTAAGGTAAAAAAAAAAAAATCACTGATGTGGTTTCTCCTCAATAGTCTTCCTGTCTTCATTGAAGTCTTCAGCTCTCTCTGTCCATCATGTTGTCAAAGTGAAACAGAACATCCTGGTATCATGTTTCCTAATCTGCCAGGTTTATTTAGAGCTACCTTAATCCTCTCTGCTGTCTGTGAAAGATGCCTGTGATAAACAAAAGGCAAGAACCACTGCGAAAGGAGGGTGAATAACTGGCAAACATATACATCACTGATTCTTTTGAAGCACTTATGGCATTTCGTCATGTTTGTGCAGGTGGGATACGATCATACAGGAGGTCAGGAGAACCTAAATGTGATTGTCATTGGTCTTAATGAGGCTGATCTTTGACTGCACAAACGTTACGCAACAACATTACTAATGAGATTACTGCAGGCTCTCCTTGACAGAAGGGGTTTGGCCGATAATATGATTATTACTAGTCCGCCAGCCTCTCAATGTGAATGACGAGGCTTCAATTTCTCATTTTGGAGAGCGCGTGTGCCGCTCGTGATTGGAAGAAAGCATCTGCGGGCTGATATGTGTTGTGTTTTCTTTGGTGTATAATATCTGTGCATATTATATTATCATGTATGCTATATTGTGCAGCAGCATGTCTTGCTCACAGCAGCAACTTAGAAGAAGATTGAACATATCAGCAGGGCATATCCATTACAACACTCCAAGAGTTGTCACGACGTAACTAAAAATAATAACTAAAACTGGACTAAAACTATTTTTTTTAAATATTGACAATGACAAAAGAACTAAAAATGAATTACTATTACCACAATTCCACTGATTATGTTGCATGTAATAATGTCTTCATTATTCTCAATGCATTAGATTTGAAATTTTCCTTAAGTCATTTATTTCAGCAGTCTGATTCTTTGAATGAACCAGCATTTTCCTGGTATTTGATGTCACAAGGAAGGCACTTCCTTTGTGTATTTGCGCGCACACGTCTGTGTGCATGAGGAAGGCACTCAATTGCCAACGTCTCTATTAATGAGATTACAAGCTTTATCTGGAACATGGCCGTTGTGTTTACAGGTGTGCGGACAACATTTACAGGCCTTAATCTCCCTGAAATCAGTGTCACCTGCCACTGCAACCCTTTTGAAGGACCTCTCACATAACATTCTTCACAGCTATATGTTCATAAATACTCATTTATTAAATTAAGAACATAACACAGAACGTAGTTGAAAAGATTTAGCATATTTTCACAACTGTGAAACAAAATTAGGTTGGCCCTCACGTTACAATGGACAGATCATAACAGGTCTCAGTTTTTCTTCCTCTTCAGGCGAGGGTCCATCAAGCTGTAAAGGCTCTGCTGTTCCAGCTCTCTCACCCTCTGACGCAGAGCCTCAATCTCTTTGTTTTTCTCATTCTGAATGAACTGGAGCTTCTGAAGTCACAAAAACAACGATAGAAAAAATAGGTAGAAATAAGGTGTAATCATAAACCTTGCTTTCCAAAATGCAATGAGGTGTTATGCAGTGTGACTCACTCTTTTAAAGATGTTTTGTGGTTGAGGGGCAGAGGCTTGTGTCTGTGGATGACTCTTTGCAGACATGCTCTGGGCCCTTGCAAGCTTAGCACCGAACTGCAAATGGATGAAACATTTTTACAGCCATAAAACTAAAACAAACATTAAATAAGGTATATGCATTAATAGTGTATTAAAACTACCTCCATTTGAAGCTTAATGGTTTGGCTTTGCTGTTCTTTCTCCTTCTCCCTCATCTGCCTTCTCATCTCCTCCAAAGCGCATTCATTTCTCTCATGAGCCACTTTCAGATCAGTATCTTTAGCATCCACTTAGAAAACAAGATAAATGTTTCCTTTTTGAATGTATAATCCTGCAATTTTTTAAACTGTATCTATAATGAACAGTAGCTATACTAGATGTCTCATCTGTTTTATTACTGTTGATAGTGTAAGGATTATAGACAAAAAGTTGTCTGATTTTCACTCACATTTCCTTTGTGCTTCTTTTTCACAGTCTTCCAACTCCCTCTGGTGTTGATCTTGCAGCGCTTTCATTTCAGCTGCCAGTCTTTGAAGCTGAGCCTTGCTTTCCTACAACCAAACAGGGGTAGAATCAAGCTCAAACAAACACAAATCGCTATCCTCATAGCATAATTAGTCATTAGTCCAACAAGAGAAAACACTAAATGACTTAGGCAAATATGCTGAGGTTAAAAAAATATGTTTTGCAATTTTATGCTTGTGCCAGCAGTAATTGAATAGAGCCCCATCTTACCTCTATTTGAGCTTCATTTTCTTTCTTCATCTGAAGAGCTTCATTTTTCAGCCTTTCATTTTCAACTAGAAAGTGTTGTGATCATTCATTCATTTTAAATTTGGATTGTAATGAAATGAAATGTAGTGTTATATTAAAGGGACAGTTCACCCCAAAATGAAAATGATGTCATCATTTACTCACCCATAAGTTGTTCCAATGAGTTTCTTTCGTCTTCTGAGCACAAAAGAATATATTTTGAACAATATGGGTTACCAAAAGGTTAATGGACCCCATTGACTGGCATAGTATGGGGAAACAAATACTATAGAAGTCAATGGGGCCCACAATTGTTTGGTTACTGACATGTTTCATCTTCTTTTGTGTTCAGTCGAGTAAAGAAATGTATAGAGGTTTGAAAAAACTTGAGGGTGAGTAAATATGATTTCATTTTGGGGTGAACTATCCCTTTAATAGAACAGTAGCTAGCCTAAGAGCTAAGATGATTCACTACCTCTGAGGTCGCACTGTTGTTGTAAGGTGTGTTGTAGACCTTTGACAGTTTCCAAAAGTCCATCTCTCTCTGTAGAAGAAAGTAAACCATGTCAAATAAGGTGTTATTATATTATATACTGCATTAATTAACGGTATAACTTTAAGTAGAAAGAGTGATATGGGGTAGTATGGGGTATGGGAAGTATGGGGATAGAAATGTAAACCCAAAAATTCACACACACAACGTTAACTGAAAAACGTTGTTATCGTTACACCGCCAGGTGGCAGCAGAAATCAATTTTCCCCCAAATCTTTGGCGAATATCTTATTTTATATCCACATATATGTATCGTCTTACCTTCAGTTAAATGTTTCTCCTTGTTTTGTGAGAGTTTTAGAAATCTGGTAGTTTCGTCCAGTTGGGTTTCAAGAGTAGCATTTTCCCCTTTCATCTCCGTAATTTTCTTAATCACACAAAACTCAGGTAATTTACCTCATAAGCGCATTCACAGAGCGTTTATAACAACATTCGTCACAAAGGTTACTTTAATATCTTATATGTACATTTAGAGGCCTTACATTCTCCAGTTGGATGAAATCTTTCACAAGTTTAGTCAAGTCGACGGGAGTAAGCTTTTTCATCTTGGCCGGCGTTTAACAGCAGCAATGGCAGCAAATAAATATCCGACGCTTAGTCGTCACTTTGAGGACAAATTATAGTAAATGGTGTGTGAAATGCATAGACAGTAAAAGAAAGGTGAAATGTTGTGCCTTAGAATTATTAACCACGTGATCCCTGGGACAGTGGGAGTACTACAGAAAAAAGTCTTAAAGGGATAATTTTCATTTTTGGGCAAAGCCCATGATTTACTCACCCTGAAGCCATCTTAGGTGTACATGCCATTCAGATGAAAACAATCCAAGTTATATTAAAAAAATTACCTGGCTCTTCCAAGTTTTATAATGAGGTGTGTTATTATGTCTTTTGAAGTCCATCAAAAAGCATCCATTCATGATTAAAGAGCTCCACGCATCTCCGGGGGTAAATAAAGGTCTTCTGCAGCGAAGTAATCTTGTAAGAAAAATATCCATTTGTAAAACTTCATCAATTAAAATAACTAGCTTCCAGCAGACGGACTACGACTTACACCAAAAGACGTAACCCTTGAAACCCTGTTTGTCTAAATCACAAGAGGCACCAAACTATACATCCTACATCATAGAGTTACTCTTTTGGCATTAGTCCACTTGTGTAAGCTGGGAGTATAACGGGAGTTGTAGTAGGTCACAGAGTGCAAAACCAGTATTTCTTAGTTCATTGCTGTCCTTTTATTTCGAGATACAGCTTATATTACAAAGTTAAAAACATCTCTTTTGAAATGATAACCAATACTGAACCAAGGCCCAAATAGCAGCACTGAGTACACACCATGCTAGAAAAAAAACACATCTTAAAGAGGTCATCGGATGCCCATTTTCCACAAGTTGGTATGATTCTTTAGGGTCTTCATGTAAAATTTGTAGCATACTTTGGTTAAAATTACTCAATACTTTGGTTAAAACGCCCTTTTACCTCCTCAAAAACAGCTCTGTTCAAGTCTCTTTAAATGATAATGAGCAACTTCTTACCCCACCCCTCTCTTCCATGAGGCATGTTTACACGCGTCACAAATATACACTATACAAATAGCTGACAAGGAAATATGCTAATACAGGACAGTCAGCGGTCGTGGGAAGAGTATGAGAAACATGACATCATATTGCTCAGATAATCCAAACGGCTTGATTATTGAGAGTGTTGAGACTTTTTCTGAGGATAAAAAAATGAATGAATGGAGTGAATGGATTTTTTTTTTTTTATTGTATGGTGGTTGTGTATGCAAACACCATATAAAAGTGAATTTTGCATCCAAAGACCCCTTTTAAACAACTATAGTTTTAGCTGGTTTATGGCCTTTCAGCCTGGCCAAGCTGTTTTTTAGCTGCTCGGAAAACTTAGTCTGTCTCCCTTGAAAAGTGCCCAAAAACAATCTAACATCAAACTGATAGACCAGGAAACCAGATCAGCCTGGTTTACTCTGTTTTAGTTTGTTTGTTGTTTTTTCAGCAAAGTTGGCTAGTCGTGAAACAATATTGATACATTATTGTGGCACTGAGGACAAAAGCCTGTAACAGTTCACATAAACACAAGATTGCTTTTTAACACTGATGATAAAATCTTAAGTAAGCACATAGTGGTGGTATAACATGATACATCAATATTACTATTATACAACTGCCAGTAAAAGATAATGTATAATGTAATGTATATTTGTATAGATGACTAAACGCCTGTGAAGAGACGACTCAATGCCGGCGATATGTTATGCCCCAAATTAATACATGATTAACTAACTGCACTTTGAAATGCACTTTCTGTAAAGCTGCTTTGAAACAATATGCATTGTGAAACGCGCTATAGAAATAATTTGAATTGAATTGAATATTTCTGCTTCATGTCTGCTCAAAATAACTTCTGAAGCTGGTAACCTTTAAAATTAGGAGAATAAAAGATTCCAGGCCTTTATACAGCCCACTATTAGCTTGCCCAAACATGACACACATTCCCCTGGAGAAGGCTTGGATCATGGATCCGTGTCTTGTTCGATGTTGGCTAACCATGTCAGACGCCACATGCACAAAGAGCAAACGTACTCCACTTTTAGTTAGGGATAATGTTGTCGAGTAGGTCAGGAGTCAAGTATCCTTCAGGAGTTGGCAAATTCTTCACCGCTGCCTTCTGTGGGGTGGTTGGAGTATTTGGTTTCAGGAAGAGACCGTTTTTCCAATCCACCCCATCTACCATAGTGTACTCTGGACTGGTGGGCTTTGCGAGGATGGGAAATGCAGTAGACGGAGAGGACGTGTTCGTCTCAGTGCTCAGGTTTTGAATGTCTCTGAATGCACTGTGTTTTTCTTGGCTCGGTGATTGGTCTGTAATAGGTGGGTTTGGCTTATCGAAGTGGGCACTGATTACACTGGCAACAAGCTCGGAGGTGTAGCCTCTTTCGTCAGGGATCACCACCAACTGTTGGATTTCTTTTCTCTTATTGTTGTCTTTCTCCTTCTGAGTTTCATCATGACAGGTGTTCATCCTTTCTTGCTCTTCCAGAGAAAGCACAGCTTCACCACGCTGGGTGACATCACTCACTTGTGAGTAAAGGCTTCTAGACCAGGTTGTGTCTTGTGGAGAGACGGCTGCAGGTTGCGGCGGCCCAGAGTGTGTACGGGACAACGGGTGGAAACCGTCGTGGCAACTGGTTGAAGGGTGATGTAGATCCGTTTGATCGTGATCTGACAGGTCCGGATCGCAGCAGCTAGCCCGTCCGGAGTCATCATCCCTGAAACCACTGGACATTTGAGGTGAGTCAGAAACCGGAGAGTCCATAAGGAGCTCTTCTTCGTTCTTGTGTGGTTCGTCAATGTCCACCTCTATGAACTCTACCCAAGGATCACTGCTGTACAGTTCTGGCCGCAAGCCCGGGTGGGTACTTAAGATTGATGTGAATTCACTCAGCTGACTTTTCTGTGGAGAAATGAAGCAAACAGAAAAGCTTTAATTTGTAGCCCCTAAACGTTCTACAAAATGAAACGTGAATGTGAAGTCGCACACCTGTAAAAGCACAGGGTCAATCCCTTTGATTTTTGGTCCGGGGACTGGCGGCAGGAAAATCACCATTAGCCTACAACAGAAATCAGGCCACAGTTAAGTTAAAGCTTTGTGTTATAAATGAGAATCTGTCTTGCCTGACTTTGAATTTGCCTATATTGGGGTCTTGAATGTGGTTCAGTGGAATTCAGTTGTGATTTATTGTGTTTTAGTTGTAATGCAATGAAATAAACTAAGTCTTTAGATAGGAATGCCACAGTAAATCATTGTATTCATACATAATGCTGTCAGATTTCCTTTGCACTGTTATATAACAGAGCGTGTACTTACTTTTGTTGATGTGAAACTACAATCAGCATCAAGATAATTATGACACCAACAGCAGAGAAGGCAAGCACAGCTGTAATAGGAAATCTTGATTCTGAAAATGAAAGGAGACATTCAAAACATCACAAAAAAATAATTCCTTCCTTCCAAAACCTAAAAACCGGTAGATCTTTAATCTGACCTTTGTTAGAAATGAGTATGAAGATGGAGTCACTGAAGACACCAAAATTGTAGCCTCTCATTTTTGACCTGACTCTGACTTCATATTCAGTGTTGCTGCAGAGACCATAGACATACGCCTGTGTCTCTTTGCCATTCTCCAGCTGTAGAGAGACAAAGACACGTCATAACCTTGAAGCCTTGAAGATATTGTGTTTCAAACATGGTCTAATTATGTCTGCAAAATCCAGGTCATAGTCTTTACCATGGTGAATCAAATGCAAATTACTTTTAATTAAGCTTCAGAGGAACTCCTCAAGAAACACATTTGACTTCAAGTCTGTTCCTTATTAGGAGCAGATTAGAAATCTGGATTTGACGATTGCACAGTCATGACTCACTGAGATCCACTGGCCTGAACCATTCTTTCTGTACTGTGTCTCGTATAGCAGCAACATCCATCCTGTCTTCACATTCTCTGCAGCAGACGGAGGAGGATCCCATCTCACAACCACGTCACAGATTAAGCCAGTTGAGCTCATACTCAAAAGAGTCCAGTTTAGTCCTACAGGTGGATCTGGAAACACTGAGAAAATAATGGAACATGTTTGCAGGTATTTTTTTTCCCTTCTTTTAATGCAATGAAAAAAGGGGGGTTTAGTTATCTGCAAGGAGCAAAACAAGACTGGTGGGAATGTTTAGTTAAAAGAGCATCATCAACTCCTAAGAATGTTTTATTGAAAGTATATTTTGGACAATATGAATATATCTGGTAACACTTTAGTTTAGGGTCCGGTTCTCACTATTAACTAGCTTATTTGCATGCATATTACTAAGATATTGGCTGTTTATTAGTACTTATAAAGCACATATAAAGCCTTATTCTGCCTGACCATACTCTACATCCCTTCTTCCATTCCCAATACCTAAACTATACAACTACCTTACTAGAGTTTATTGAGGCAAAAGTCAAGAGTTAATAGTAAGTTATAGTAGGGCTGTCAAGCGATTAATGGCATCCAAAATATAAGTTTGTGTTTACATAATATATGTGGGTGCACTGTGTATAATTATTTTGTATATATATATATATATAAATACACACACATGCATGTATATTTAAGAAAAAAATATTATATATAAATCTAAATACAGTATATACATGAAAATATTTCTTAAATATATACAAGCATGTGTGTGTACTTTATATAAATAAAATAGATATACACAATGCAGCCACATATATTATGTAAACACAAACTTTTATTTTGGATGCGATTAATCGCGATTAATCGTTTGACTGCCCTAATTTATTTATAAAATGTACATAAAAAATTAACAAATAAGTAACTAAAACTTATTGAAAATACATTTATAAAAACCTACATGTATGTATGTATATATATGTAAATATATGTGCTAAAAATAGCAAATATTTTTGCCACAACGGGTTATATACTTGAAAGCATGCCTTACCAATGTCCTCCACGTTGAAAGATATTTCGTCATAAACAACATCAAGAGAGCGTGAACGCAGCTGAATCACATAAGTGTACCATATGACAGTATTACTGGAATTAAAGTAGCATTCATTCATCAAGGAGCTGTAACTTGGACATTCTCTCCATTTTCTCTCATTCTTAGAATCCCTGCAGACATGTGGGAAATTGGTGATCATTATTAGAAGAACAGTTATTTGTCTATCGACTGACTGCTATAGCATTAATTCTCTTTTACTTGTAGGAGCAAGAGAGTTATGTTACCAAATAATACCAATTATCATGCAGTTTTTTTATATATTAATTCTGCATTTTATTCTATGGTGTACTATGATTACTAATTACTTTTCTAAGATGTAGAATAGCCTCAGATCGTCAAGTTCTTTGCTGTTCTGTAAGGATGCAGTCTCCCACTGACAACGGAAAGTCATCAGCTCTCGAGAAAAGCATCCAGTCAGATGAGGCAAAGTAGAAGTTTGACCTGCAAAGAGAGGAAAAACATACTTGAACATAATTGCCTTAAGGCAAGAAATAAATAACAGGAATGTCATAGCTTTCTATACAGAGAAAATAAATATTTCAAAAGATATATAAACATGTCATCAATAATGAAGTTCTATATTCTAATGATTTTTTTTTTTTTTGCCAATTCAATAAGGAATAAGGTTATTTTTTTATGTAAAAGTTTAAAATGTGTGCCATCAAGCACAGCTGAGAATGATCAAAGTTTTTATAGCTAAAATAAAGGCAAAAAAATCTGTGAATGTCCTTCAGTTTAAACCAGTTTAGGACTAACAGGATGTAACATAAATCCCAGTTGGGCTATAACTGTCAGCTGTGTTTTCCAGGAAATGTGTTCTGGCATTTTTCACATGAAGAAGAATATGAGTGGCAGCACAGCAGTTATTGCCTGCAAGCTCTTTGAAAAACTCTCCTCGACCTTAGACAACAATTCTGATAAAACTTAGTAACACTTATTAAAACTAATTGACAATTTGAGGTAATAGCTAAAAGTAAACATGGTTCCCAATGGTACGATTCATCTCAAAGTAGTGTATAATAGAAAAAATGAATTTAGGCCACAACATCTGTTTTAGTCTGGTTATTTACAGTACACTCCCAGTGCTTTTTTCAGTTCATTTATTTACATTACGTTTAATCATTTAGCAGATGTTTTTATGCAAAATATTATTCTTCATCATCTCATATTTTGTAGTTTCCCCCCTCAGGAAAAACAGAGGAATTATTATTAAAAGCCATCATGCTAGCTTGGCTTGTGAACTGAACATGTTTGAGTTTGTCTGTTTAGGGCAGGGGTGGACGATGTGACCAAACTCTTATTTCACGATATCAATATATATCATGATATAGTCATATTATTTCATTTTTATTATTACATTATAATTAGGGCTGTCGAACGATTAATCGGGATTAATCGCATCCAAAATAAAAGTTTGTCTTTACATAATATATGTGGGTGCAATGTGTATAATTATTTTATATATATAAATACGCTCACATGCTTGTGTATATATTTAAGAAATATTTTCATGTATATAGATTTATATATAATTTATATTTTTATATCTAAATAATTTTTTTTTTCTTAAATATACATGCATGTGTGTGTATTTATATATATATATATATACAAAATAATTATACACAGTGCACCCTATATTATGTAAACACAAACTTTTATTTTGGATGCGATTAATCGCAATTAATCGTTTGACAGCCCTAATTATAATTTTTTTTTTTTTTGTTCAAAAATATGAATTAAATTAAGTGTTCAGGTACAATAGGTTTGTAGGTAGAAAAAGTACAGAAATTGAATAATCAAATGCTGCATAGTCTTCCCTGTATAAATTCATAATAAAATTATTATTATTAAAGCTACAAAAGTTATTATTCAGTCAAGAGCAGTGCATTTTTATCTCTTTTGTTTGATAAAGTTTAATGACACAGAGAGCTGCAGGTTTATCAGGTTGCTGTGACTTTATGACCGATTGCACAGATCTAATATACTGATTAACACATCCGGTTTACAACCAACTGTTTACTTTCATTTGAGACATAACCATCTATGTTTACATGAACACTCCACACGATGGGCATTTTGACATAATTAAGTGTGAATTCGACCATTCAAGCAATAAGAACTGAACCTACATTTGTTATCATGGACTCGTTCCTCTTAAAAAGCCATCGTAACAGAACGCCAGACCACTAATGGATCTCCGACAAAGAGAACAGGCAAGTTTATTTTTTATATATAGCACATTTCATACACAATGGTAATTCAAAGCACTTTACATAGAAGAAATTAAAATAATCAAAAGAAATCAGCATTGAGGGCTATTAACTAATGAGTTGAAACTGGTGTGGTCAAATGAGTGTCCATGGCAACAAACAGGGAACAGAGCAGCAAGGAAACATGAGGTGAACAAAGCACAAAACAAGAGTCAAACTTCAAAATAAAAGTCCATAACAACACACACAGGGATTGTGATTCGTGAACCGTGACTTGTGCGTTTTATTACTCTAAAGTGTCATTAGTGCTATGCTACACGTGTATAATTACCTACTACAATATACAGGAGGATATGGCAAAATCTGTAACGATAGATATTTTATACCATCGCCACAATATATATCGTCATACCGCCCAGCTGGTTTGGGGCTATTGGGGTAATTACATCAAGTAATTTTACATCAAAATGTCTTGCTTGATGATGTAAAAGATTTGCAATCATGTATTCTCATGTTTGTGGATTTGATTCTGGTTTGCATCTTGTAATTACACTCAGACTCTCAAAAAAAATTCTAATTTAAAATGTTGACAAGCAAATTACCATAATGCAGCTTACTGTATATACATAATTTTTTAATGGAAATTTTTGGTAAACTAATACTCTGAACTATTATACCTGATAAAGGATAATAATTAATCAGAGCTGCCATTTCAGTAGAATATGTTCCCATAGAAACTAATGTATAGCAAAAATAACACCTGCAGAGTGATTGTCAAGCTAACCATCATTTCATAAAGCAACATGCATATCCTCCCACTTACCGCAGCCACTTTCATTCAGAAAACATTATTTTTGATAGAATTCATAATGGGCAATGGGTAACAGCTGAAAGAGAACTTTGTTCGTTAATTTCCTCCTGAGCCATGGAAAAATCCTGATTCCGGCTCAGATTGGTTTAATTTGCTTAGCTACAGTTTTTCTGCAGCCTGCATTTGGAGTCCTGAAAATATGTTAAACTTAAGGATTTATTTTATTTATTATGTAAAATCCAATCAGTATGCAGAGGTCCAATTTGCAGAAAGCCAAACAGCTACCTCAGTGTTTCACAATGGGTGGGTTGCTAAAGAAAACATCCTGTTGAACAACATGGCTCTTTAAGGGGGAAAAAAAGTTGCTGAAAGTGGCAATTATTTGTGTTGTTTTCTCAGAATGTTCCAAATTAAAACGCCTCAAGCAAGACATGTCACAATGGGCAAGGCCAAAAGACTGTACAAACGGCTAACCTTGTATTGTAGGAGGCACACTTTGTGTTGCCACAGCACTGGTAAGCAAGATACAGATGAGAAGGGTGGTCTCCATGTTATAGTATAGTCCCTGTGAAGACCAAAATAAAGTCAAATATGAAATCTGTCAACAGCCTACACTGAGAGTAATGGAAGCTAGCACCAGCTAATAGTCCTAAAAGTCTTCGTTTGTCATCTTTACTTCAATTCAAACACAGTTAGGTCCATTTTTTTTTTTTTCATTTCATTGCAGAATTCAATCAGTCCATGAGACAGGATTTCGAAATCACAGTAAACAGTCCTCTCTGCCATCCATTTGAAACCAAAGGCTCTAGCCAGCGGTTATGAAATATATCCTCACGACAACATGGCTTTGCTCCAATCTGCTTCTGGAAAACATCTTCTCAGAAATCCATGTATTGACTCTGCACTACAGCTGCATGTGGATCTCAGCTCCTCTCTTTGAGATTAAAATGGCCTTTACACTCAGTGCAGCAGTACAGAGATAACAAACTCTCACTGAGGGTCAAGGGCTGGTCCTTGATAAAATGGGTACAGCCTGTTCTACAATGCCAAAGTGTATAATTAGGAAGTTGATAACAGCTGTATGTTTGATATGGAGTTTCCTGAAAGAAGTCTGAAATAGTCTCTGCCTTTCTTATTTAACATGACAATACCACGAGTGACTATATATCAGAACATTGTAAAAAATAGCACAAAAATCTGTACCCCAGGACATTTAACACAAGAGTTTGTGAGGGGAGAGTGTAGTTAGCCAGCCCTGAGCGAGAAATATGTGAGTTAATGGTTTGTGTTTTACTCACACAAATAAAGTGAAGATACGTATCTCACTTCAGCAAGGAGGAGTGAGTTTTTAAAAATCAAAGCTTCAGAGCTTCAGAAAGGAAATTGACATCTCTGTCGCTCCGCTCCCCTCAAGTGTTTCGGTCCTGCTTTTAGTTTGCCATGTTGCTTGGTGACACAAAAAGATTGAGTTTTTGGCTTCTTTTAGGCCTATTTTCTTAGTTCAAGATGAAATATACAAATTACTGGCCAAAAAAAACACTGAAATATTTCATTGAACTGTTAAGAAATATCACACTTGCAATCATGCCAAAGACAGAACTGATGCATGCTTATATTTATATTTACTCCAGTAATGTTGCTTAGTTAAAAACGTATTGTATAGCCTGTCATCCACATCTGGACATAATGCTTTGACGTAAACCATTCACGTAAACATGATAAACATAGCCTAAACAAGTGTTCGACGATACAGAATGCAGTTAAAACAACTTTACATAATACATCCGTTTTGTTTTGCCTTAAAAATTTACATGAAATGAATCCTCCACATCAGCATCCGCAATTACTGTAATAAAATAATAAATCCCACGTTTGTCTCATTACACTGAACTCACCATTTCCAAGAGTGCGATTCAGATTTGCATATTCTGTACTTCTATGAAAGTATTCCTCGGGGAAACTTGGCTTCTTTGTATGACAACTTGGTTAAATCAATCAATTGTTTAGAACTCTTCAGCTGCTTGCCTAAAACGTGTCCTGTGGTTCTGGTTCTGACAGACTGAACCAGGCTGCTACTCTCTCTGGTCATCTGGCTCCAGCATCCGTATCTTACTATAGTTTTTTCTCTAAGGCATTCGAAGAAAGGCGCCAGTTTTCTTTGAAGCACCCTGCATATGAAGTTTGTAAAGTAAATCCTTATACAGCGGGACACTTTGCTGGTTTACTGCATACACGTTAGATTTTCGCATGGGAAAAATAAATGTTGTTCACGGAACTCCGCCCTAAAGCGTCACAGTGTTTTCCCACAACTGGGCTAAGGGTGGGGAATGCCACGCGCGTTATTTTTCTCACTGTGTTGATTTTTATATTATAAAAATACAGCGGAATACATCAATCTTGCATTGTGGTCAGATATTAATTTCCTGAGCTTCCCTCTAAAGCTGCAAACATTGACAATCATTCTCAGAATCACAGCTGTCTGTGTAATTAGGTTTACACTTAGACATAGCCTTATTCATCCCCAATGGCTATTATTGGAGGTTTTGTGGTGTTGTGCTCTCCATAGGTGCTTTACACTTGATAAACAATGCAGGGTTGTAAAGGTACACGTGACTGGACTGGGACACGTGTTTGAGGGGTCCTGCAGTACCATTTAGACCATGGTTAAAGACTCAACCAGACCAGTAGTAGAAACGTTTGTGTGGCAAAGTGGAAGATTTAAAAGTAAGGCGTTCAGTCAAGCTTTAGTTGGCACATTTTTGTGTGAGAAACTGTGAATATTTATCCAAGTTAATCTCTGTATCTCTTCTTTCTGACTAAAAGCTAATAAATATTTATTTATTTATTCATTTATTTATCCACAACAGTAAAATAATTATGAAATACCAAAGAAGACACATTTTATAAATTACATCTTGTAAATCGTGACTTGCCTAACTTATGAAAAATAGGCCTTTCTGTTGAAAACTACATTAACATCTTTTTTGTTCTTTTTGCTTTTGGAATCCTATTGGAATTTTAGATTTAAAAGAAAAAAAAATACTTCTAATTCAACAGAAAATATTTTTATTTAATATTTCAATTTAATAGTTTGATCCCAACATACAAATGATTGAGGTTTAGATAACATTCATATTTAGCCTACATAGCAAATAAAACGTTTAAAAGTGTATTATAAATCTCATTCAGGCTTATCTCGAGTTTATTAAAACACACAAACCCATTCTTCATCTCTGTTGTTGAATGTTTATATCACAAAACAGGTCATTTTAACCATCATAAACTTAAAGGAAAGTCTCTTGATCTGTATACATTAAAGGAAAGTCTCTTGTAAATCTCATATGACAAACAAACACAGCAACCAACTCAACAAACAACACTGTTCCTGTGTGGTGTTGTTGTGGTAGTCTGGACATTTCTCAACAGCTGTCAAACGTCTTAAAAGGGACTAACCTTTAACCTTGGTGTTCAGTGCTTTTGCATGGTGTTGTAAATAAGTGTGCTCTAATAGCATTTAGCTTCCTCCCCATGAGTAGTGAGGAACATTGTGCAGAAGATGACTGGCTTCTTTGATTTAGATTGTTTGTGGATCGTTAAAGGAGCATTTCACCCATTTCAAAATTAATCTCTATTGAAAGTGTATCATATATGTAGTGGAAATGTGAAATAATTTTTGAATTTGGTGCCCTCTTGACCGAGAAAAGACAGAAAATAACCGAGAGGTGCAACAACTCCCACAATGCACAGCTCCGCAAGTCACACCCACTAATCCGAAACTGCGCACACAGAGAAATCACTCTTCCATCTAGAAGGCTAACGTTAGCTGTCACCAGAGTTTGAAATTCATTTCACACAAAATTTCTAGTTAGTTGGCTGTGGCGAGCAGGACGATTGAGGGCAAGGGACGTAAAAGGACGGCGCTAGGCCGGTGGCGTGAGTGATAATGAGAGACACCGCGCGCCGGTCTCACGTCTCATGGAGTAGCGAAAGCATAAAATGAGGAGCGATGACGGCAGATCGAGAGAGAAACAGGCCTGATTTTATGATGTTTTGTTTCTGTTGTGAGTAACGTTACAGCAGTCGTCAATGAGGGGCTGCTGGCTTATTGGCCTGATTTCGTTTTGTATTTGTTCATTTTACTATTAAAATGTTTAAATGTTCGCCGGTTCCCACCTCCTTCTTCCCACAACAACAAACCCTTTTAACGTTATAATAGCAAATTTGTGAATTACTCCTCGTTTGTATTTATTTCTATGGTGAATTACTGCATGATACCTGGATGTTCGGTCAGGCGAAACTAGGATGGTTCACATCACAACACAAACGTCCGTGTGCTCATCTGATTCAGAGATTTCGTTCAGGAGAAATTGCCATCGTTGAAATTTTCTGCAGCAGACAGACTCTATCTGTGTTCGTAGTTCACAGTGAGAGCACATTCACCAGCAGTCCGCCCAGCTCCAGCCAGTCCAGACTCCTTGATCAGCCTCAGCTGCTCTTCACTATACTCGTAAAGACAGCCATGAACATCGGATTCGAGCAGCAGAATTTCAAAATCCATGTTTTTTCCATCATTATCATAGTTCCTATCTCCACAGCGCTTGTTAGCTTAGCTTCCAAACAAAATGGCTGATATATTGATTCAGTTGCTGCAAGTGAAGTCCCACCCACTGATCTGTGATAAGTCTGTAGGGTGAGTGGGTCCCACACCCTTGAATAATATTGAGCTAATATTTGTAGTCTCAACACATTTTAATGAAATATGACTTCCTGCTTTTTATGAAGCAAAATTACGATTATTACATCATAATAAGCAGGAAGTAAAACACTTAAATCATTATTTCTCCCATCTCAGGGGAAAATAAGGGAATAAACTATGACCATTGTCTTTGTACAGAGAGCTAAGCTTGTGTTGAAGTTGAATCTTCTATTTATTTGTTCAGAGTGTTTATCAATAAATGCTACAGATTTTATATAAAGAATTTAATGGAAGTTAATGGAAACAGAGGTTAATGATGTTGTATCATTTATAATAGTTTCAGTTGGTGTATGCAGGAGGGAGGGGGGTTCATTGATCTACAATGACAGTACAAAAGTACACTTCAAACAGTGCCTAAACCCCCTGAAAACCTTCCCTTTGCCCTATTTTAAAACTGCAGGATCCAGGTCCTGTTGTAGACAGTGATTGCTTTCCTGTAAAAAGTTTAAGTTAAGTTATTTTGAAAATGTCATTTCAGAGATTACTATCTAGGTCCGATTCTCTTCTCAGAGGAAGACTAATTTCATTAAGAGCTCAGGGATGTATTTATATTCGTCATGGTAAGGTAAGTAACAGAAGTTGAACTGCTGAGAACACTAATATTTAAATAAAGGTAAATATTTGTTTTCATAGATTTTCTTTGATGTTTATTTATGCATTTATTGTAATAAGTTTTAAGGGATAGATGTCAATATATGGCGATCCCTGAATAATCTTTTTATCTAAAGAGTTAAGCATATCCCTTTAATCAGTTAGAGATATTGATGCAAATCAAACATCCAAACAATGCACTTTGTGAAGTTAGCTATATATTTTGCATATACGGAGGAACAGATTCAAATAAAGTTTAAAATAAACTAATTCTGCTGTATTGATTTACTGTTTGAACAGCAATGATGTGTTTGCACACAGTATCAGCATGTCCACATGTCCATGTTGCACTGTCAGGTTGTTCATGATGTATGAACCTTGGCACACTCAGCACATTTCATCTTGCCTAAATAAAATCACAAAATGTGTTGATTTTTCTCCATTTTTAGAAATGCAGCTGTTTATAAAAGCTAAATGAGCCTAAAATACACATGAGTGATATAGCCTAATTAACTTCTAATGCTACATTATTTACGGTATACTTTTCGAAGAACTGAAGTTTTGCCTGATTCAGACAACCGTACAAATCAACAGAGGTTCAAAGCGACAGCACTTGCATTTTCACTTTAATTGTGCCTAAAAGTGTGCCATGTTCTCCCTGTCATATTACCCCACAGGAATTCAACATCTCACGTTTCTCAACCTCTCAGTCGTGGAGTGCATGTTTTTATACGGACCCCACAGAGATCGTCAGAGACATTCCTCATGGCTCCACGCTTCTTGTTGGAGGTAAAAGGAGGAACTTAATGCTTATGCCACATCCATACATGTGCGCGCTGCATGTGGCCTATATATATTTCTGCACATGGATGCAGTCCTACTGTATCTGATAAGTTGTTTGTACAGCTAAGTGGTATTTCCTCCACTGATATCCTTTGTTGTAGATAGAACATAATGAGTCCCCAAGCGTTATTGTTTGTGTTCAATTTCCCCCTTTTCTGTCCCAGGCTTTGGCTTGTGTGGGATCCCGGAGAATTTAATCAGCGGCCTGTTGAAAACAGGAGTAAAAGGCATCACGGCCGTGAGCAACAATGCTGGGTGAGAGAGATTTCTAATTAAAATGTCAGCAAAGGGACATCATTGTTTCCAAAGAATTTCCTAACGTAACCAACACTGGGATGTTAAATTACATGGGGTTCCTGTCATGTATTTTTAAACACAAAAAAGACTGGGAAATAATCTGATAGGGTCAAGGGACAAGAAAGAGGGAAAAAGGGAAGTGGGCCCTCAGGAATCAAGGCTTTAAAGCAAGACCAGTGCATGATGTGATTTCATGTGTGTCTAAATAACTAAGTAATTGTTTGATGTCAGGGTGGATAACTTTGGCCTGGGCATGCTTCTGAAAACCAAACAGATACATCGCATGATATCTTCATACGTTGGGGAAAATGCAGAGTTTGAGAGACAATATCTATCAGGCGAGCTGGAATTAGAGCTTACCCCTCAGGTAGAACATTTAACTTATTTACATTCTCCATGCAGAATCAAGCAAAATCCAACTTTTTTCCCTCACTACATCAAGGAAGTAAAATAACAATTCATGCGTTGACCTTCAATACTTGGCTATTTGATTGATTTGATTCTGTCCCAGGGCACACTAGCAGAGAGGATACGGGCTGGTGGTGCAGGTATCCCAGCGTTTTTCACTCCCACAGGCTACGGCACTCTCATCCAGGAGGGCGGCTCACCCATAAAATATAACAAAGATGGCAGCGTTGCTATTGCAAGCGAAAGCAGAGAGGTGTGGTGATGCAAATCACTGTCAAAAATAGTCCAAAACATATTTTTAATTTTTTCACTTTCAGAAAAAAAAAAATACTTGTGTGGATCAAGTTCTTGTGTTTTGATTGTTTGGTCCAGGTTCGAGAGTTTAATGGCAAACATTATGTCATGGAAAAAGCCATCACTGGTGACTTCGCTTTGATAAAGGCTTGGAAATGTGACAAAGCAGGAAATCTTATTTTCAGGTTAAGATATTTCTGCATTCATGATATTTTACCTCTGTGAATAAATACTTAGATTGTCCACTAGATGTCAGACTTTATCTGTGTAATATCAATCTAAGGAACCTCTTTGTTTGAATAATTGTAAATCACATTACTAAACTTTTTTCCACGATCATTTTTAAACAGGAAAACAACTCGTAATTTCAACCAGCCTATGTGTAAAGCAGCCAAAGTGACCATAGTGGAGGTTTGTGACCTTTCAATTTGTGATAATCTTTGTGGCTTTGATCTTTGCTGGAATATCGTGTTTGAGGTATTTACCTATGTGTGTTGAAAATATCCTACTTTGGTTCACAGGTTGAGGAGATTGTTGATATTGGAAGTTTTGCGGCAGAAGACATTCACATCCCCGGCATCTATGTAGACCGGGTAGTGAAAGGAGCCAGCTATGAAAAACGAATTGAGGCGAGAAAGACAGATGAACATTACTGTTTATTTCATTATATTGTTCAATTTAGTACACATTTAACTTTACAAGATTGTGTAAGTCATGCTGAGGACTTCTTTTATTTATAGAAAAGGATGGTTCAGTCTAGTAAGGAAGAGAAACCTAAAATCAAACAGGAATCAGATATAACCCGGGAGAGAATCATCCGGCGAGCTGCACTGGAGTTTCAGGACGGAATGTATGGTATCCTTCAGTAGCTTGACCACAGATATCACTGCCAACATGCTAACAAAAGTTATAATTGTTAACAGTCTTATTCCCAAATATACCTTGACATCCTTCCCAGCAAATCTTGGCATTGGAATCCCTATGTTGGCCAGCAATTACATAAGTCCTGAAATCGTTGTCCACTTGCAGAGTGAGAATGGAATTTTGGGACTGGTGAGTTTTTGTTATTTAATAACCAGAGTAATTTCCCAACTATTTTTCACTTCCAATACACTGTTTTATTTTTGTCCATTTAGGGTCCCTATCCAACAGAGAGTGAAGTGGATCCTGATTTAATCAATGCTGGTGCAGTGACCTCTCTTATTTTTACTCAATCATCTGTTAAATTAAATGACAACAATTAAATGTCACAACACCATATATAAACAAGTGTAACAGTGAGTGAAAATATTGGGTTAAAATAATAAATTCTATATAATATAATATAATAATCTCACATAAAACCTGTGACCTGTGAAAATATGCGGTTGGTCCATTGTGTTAACCTGTAACAGGAGCACCGGAAAGTGTGTGTGTGTGTGTGTGTGTGTGAGATTAAAACATAACAATTACAAAATATCAGACATAAAATCTGTGACAAATAACTATGCGGATGTCCCACTGTGGCGGCCAGTTATAGGAGAAGCCGAAAGTGTGTGTTTGAGACAGATTGCAATATAATATAATTAAATATAATATAATATAATAACAAAATGAAGTCCTTCTTTGTCACTCAGATCATTGCCTGTGTGTTCAGGTAAGGAGACAGTAACAGTTTATCCAGGAGCTGCCTACTTCTCCAGCGATGAATCCTTTGCCATGATCAGGGGGTTAGTGTCTGAATGCATCAGTCATCTATGATTAAACTAAACTGCACTTGAAATGAGCAAATGTTTTCCCATATTTCTCTCTTACTTTAACTTCACCTTTTGTACCCTTTTACTTTAGTGGTCACATTGATCTGACCATGCTGGGAGCAATGCAGGTTTCCAAGTATGGAGATCTGGCCAACTGGATGATTCCAGTATGATTTTTATGCTATATTGTATTGTCTCATCACTGATAAACAAGCCGTATGTTTTTACTTGCTTGGTTTGACATGTACCATGTGTTTCTCTCAGGGTAAAATGGTGAAGGGCATGGGCGGAGCGATGGACCTGGTGTCTAGTGATGCCACAAAAGTAGTGATCACTATGGAACATTCTGCCAAGGTACAATGCCCTGAACCCTTACTCTCTCATTTACAGTCATTACGCTTTAATGTATCATCACTCTTTGTTATATTCTGACCTTCAATTTAAAGGGTGGAAAGCATAAAATCCTAGACAAGTGCACACTTCCTCTGACTGGAAAACAGTGTGTTGACCGTATAATCACGGAAAAGGTCAGTATGTAAAGTATTTAAGAGACAGAATAGTATTTGGACATATCTTGGATCCTTTCAAGGACATGGGATGTGTGTTGTCTCTTGTTTTAGGCAGTGTTTGATGTAGATAAGAGCAAGGGTTTAACTCTCATTGAGATTTGGGAAGGACTGACACCAGATGACATCAGAGCATGCACTGGGACAGAGTTTGAGGTAAGACTGACAGAACCAAACTTGTTGAATTGGTTCAGTAGTGGCTGTGATGAAAAGTTATATGCAATTAAAAATGATTCATCCAGGCAAACAATATGTGCTGTTGAAACATTGTGCTTTGTAACCCTCTTGGTCTCTTTGTAAAAATCTGTGTATATGAAATGTGTCTGCAACTATCTTGTTTTTAGAAATCAACTAGTCTTGACTGACAGGATTAGATTAACATGATCCTCCCACACTTTCATTTAGATCTAGTATTTGGGGGGAAAGATTTAAGTCGTTTTGCTATTTTTCAGGTGTCTCTACACTTACAACCAATGAAACAGATATGAGGTAATACCAAGGATTTATTGACAATGTCCTTCTGCCAGTATGCTGAGACAGGACCAGAGCAAGAGAATTCCATTCATATCAACAGTTTTATTTGGATGTGGAATAAATACAGATTTCAGTATTAAACATGCATGATTCTCCTTATTAATTAAGACTAGACTTGCTGTTAGAAATATAGAACTAGAACACAGTAACTGTCCAAGAGTTAAAACATCATCTTTTAAGGTAAGGTTGAAGACATTGCCAAGCTAAAATGTGTCTGAAATTGCATTGTCATTTGAACTGAAGTGATGGAGTCAATAGAATCCAAATAGATATAACATTGCATATTTTAGAATTAGTATTTTTAAATATTAGTATGCACTGAAACTTATTTTAATCGTATTTTAATGTTTGTGGGTGGTAACTTCATATCTTTATATGTCAGTTTTAGCTAATCAGCTCTAAATAATGAAGCTGTGCCACCGCCACTTTATACTGAATCATTTATTCTTGCCACAATTTGAAATAAATAATGTTGGGCGTAACATTAGTTTTTTTAAAAAAAAAAAAAATGTTTTGTCAGCAGTCATTTTATTACTTAAATATGTAACATAATATACTGTAAACAGGCATCCTGTTGACATTCTGTAAAAAGTCCAAATTAATTAACACAGTGAGACATAGCAGACCACTAGATTTCAGCTCAGTGGAAGTTTTTGACCCTAGTGTCACTCTCTGATTGGTCATCGACCTGAACAACAAAGATTGCACAACTATCCGAAGACATAGGTCTGAGTGTTCCACAGGGTTTGGAACAGAACACTATTTCACCACACTCCTAACAATGCAAAACGAATCCCATCCATTTTTTCAAAATTAAAGACACAGAAACAACATGCACACATTGTTTACTGAAATTTACAGATTTAAAGACTAGATTGTGAAATTGTGACATTAATCCCAGAGAGGAAACATAGACTGGCAAAGTCAGGGAGAGGGAAAATGAGCCAGCACTGAATGTCCTACATGCCGAGTCATGCTGGGAATTCCTGACCAGGGCAGGATGATGTCATAATCCCAGTAAGAGCCCCTTTATATGAGCAGGACCCATTTCTGTACCTGCCACAGCCCACAATCTGTCTAGTCAACAGCATTAAGGTAAGGAGTTTTAGTAAAAAAATCTAATAATAATAAAAGAAAGGTACAGAAATGATTCGCAGATGTAAAGCATAGTAAATATGGCACTGTAGTCATAGCTGGATTATGTTTGTCCAATGTTATTGTTTACTAAAGCTAGTAAAAATAAAAATAAAACAATTTTGGTAAATAAAGCTGAAATAAAATAAATTATAAATAAGAAAACTAAAATATGAGAATGCTGCAACTAACTGAAATAAAGGAAAAAATAAATCTAAACAAAAAATGTTTAACTTATAATTAAATTAAAAACGGAAATATATATATATATATATATATATATATATATATATATATATATAAAACATTATATATTCAAAATATTAATTTCAATTATGCTTTCAGATGTGCCCAGCCATTTTATTAGTTCTGGTCACGTTTCTGCCTTATATTTGGTGAGTGCTGCATGAATAGTAGATGTTACAGATGATATTAAGTAATGCTGGACATTTTGCATCTATTAACTCGCCATATGCGTTTGTTACGGAAGGTGTGAGCAGCCGATAAACTGCAGGTGGGGACCGTATGGAGACTGGTCAGAGTGTGACGGCTGTACCAAGACACAGGTAACACAGCTTTAAAGCAGCATTAACACTAGCCACAACTGAATGACCTCAGTTGTGGCTAGTGTTAAAGACCTCCTCGTGGTGTTTTCTCTAAGGTTCGATTGCGTCATGTAGACACATTCCCTCAGTTTGGAGGCAGCACTTGTACAGGCGATGCCTTGCAAAAACAATCCTGTTTTCCAAAGAAACGCTGCCCCCTTCAGACTGGGTGCGGAAACAGATTTCGCTGCACATCTGGTAAATCACTTCTATCTGGGATATTGAATTTGTTTAAATACAAATATCCAGTCATTTTACCGCTTTCATTGTTGGTTTGTTTATAGGTCAGTGCATCAATCCATCTCTGGTGTGCAATGGAGATCATGACTGTGAAGATGGTTTAGATGAGCAGCGCTGTAGTGGAACTATAGTATGTAATGAGTGCAAGCCTCCACCCAACTCTGACCTCACAGGAAGAGGGTAAAACAGCCTACACCTAACAGTATAATCTAGGGTGCTTCTCAAGCGAAAGGCTGCATAGTGAGGCCGTATCCATTCTTCCTAGTCTAATTCTAAGTCCTAGTCTAAGTCCAGGAGCTTTGTAGGCTAACTTAGTCCTTCTGTGCATTAAACGTCATTAACGTTACATTAAAGCATTAAGTGCGCTGCGCATATGGCTTCGACGCAAAAAATACAATATAATGCAGTACTAATGACAACCATCTGTGGTCTCCCAGTGGTTTTACATTATTTAGGCTAATTCATTTAAAACAAAAAATATAATGCCTTTATCTCCAAAGTCAATTGGAGGACACAAAAGATACTTGATGCATCCTTCAAAACAGGCCAAATGAAAGACAAAACAAAGGCTGCTTTCAAAGGATTTATTGAGATGCCCTTTGACAAAAATTGATGATGTGGCTGCCAAGATATGCAGCCTTACTAGGATGCAGCCTTCCGATTGAGAAGCACCCCTATAGTACAATTACTTTGTATAATATTAGTGGAATAATACAATACAGCAAACTAATATTTGCTTCGGCTCCAATAGGTTTGATGTGTTGACGGGTGAGCTGAAAGCCGGTGTCATTAACACTCGTAGCTTTGGTGGGCAATGCAGGAAAGTCTTCAGTGGAGACCATAGAGATTTCTACAGACTTCCGCAAAGTCTACTCAGATATAGTTTTCAAGTAAAATGTTCATTTTTGGCCAATGTCTGATGTTATAATGATATCTAGGCTGGTTTAATATAAATTAACAGTTTCTATCATTTCCTTTCAGGTCAGGGTAGAAAATGATTTCAGTGATGAGTACTATGACAGTTCCTGGTCTTACATGAGGCATGAAGAGGAGAAAAAGAGAATTAGAGGAGGTCACGATCATAAAACCTTTCATAACAAACTGAAACAAGACAAGGTAATGATAGATTCAGTACATGCAAAAAATATTTGATTATATTTAGGGCTGTCAAACGATTAATCACATCCAAAATAAAAGTTTGTGTTTACATAATATATGTGGGAGCACTGTGTATAATTATTTTATATATATAAAGACACACACATGCTTGTATATTTTAGAAATATTTTCATGTATACTTACATAGATTTATATATAATTTATATTATAAATAAATAGAAATATTTTATATATAAATAATACTTTTTTTCTTAAATATACATGCATGTGTGTGTAATTATATATATACAAAATAATTATACACAGTGCACCCACATGTATTATGTAAACACAAACTTTTATTTTGGATGCGATTAATCGCGATTAAGCGTTTGACAGCCCTAATTATATTATATTTTAATTTCTATCATTTCTGTCTGACAGACCTATCACCTCCTGATAATAAAAAATGAGGTAGAGGTGGCTCAGTTCCAGAACAATGCTCCTGAGTACCTCCCTCTTTCTGAAGACTTCTGGAAGGATCTGTTGGCCTTGCCCAGCACATATGACCTATCAACTTATCAATTCTTTATACAGCGTTATGGTACTCACTACATGGAAGAGGGCTCTCTGGGTGGCCAGTATCGGGCCCTGCTTGAGCTGGATGCAGATTATATGATGCAGATGAGTATGTTAATTTTCCCCTTTCTCTGTCAACATTTAATTGTGATATTCAAGGGCATAAACTATATGAGGAAGGGGTTCAATTGTGCCAGAATGATCTTTAACAATCTCCAGTCCAAACAAGTTTCTTTGCCAGTCCAGTCCATCCCTTGCTCAGGTTTTGTTTGATGGATACCAGAATCAATATCAATTAAAAAATGTCCCCTCTACCAAAATCCATATTTAACCCTTTAAAGCCTACTGTATCATATATGATATGCAAATTTGCCTAAAAAATGCCTAAAACTTTTGCTGAAAAATCTGTAGTTAATTCTAATTCTTAAACAACTTCTTTAACTAACTTGTTTAATTAATAGTGTATACTTTTTAAAGTCAGAGACCTTTTAGTGTCATTGAAAAATGTCCGCCTTCAGGCTGTGGTACACTGTCTTTTTGCTGTGCAATGTTTAATAGCTTTTAAGAAGTAAACATAAAAAATAACTTTTATATTGTTAGTAATATTTCAAGATCCAATTTTCTCATCCCATTTAAATATCATCTTACTAACATTGGGATATAAAGAGTGACAACTGATATTTATGCTGTACATGTAACTAGTCTTCAATACTGTTGCTAAACCTGTGTCAGAAGGTTTAATAAATGATTCCATTAAAAAAAAATCTGGATTTATAGGGTTCTGGTTATGCCCCTTATATATGGGGCATTTGTGTTTCATTTAGTTTAATATATTTTCTTTTTAACGCAGGTAAAACAGACATTGATTTCCACCAGTGTATTACACGTGTGAAGCGACGTCTCTTCTATAAAAAGAAAACAACCAAGTGTGTGAAACTGATGAAGACAATTGAGAGTTTCAGTGGTTAGTCTAAATGACTGGTTATTTCATTTTTCATTTTTCATTTTATTTATTAAGTATTTGTCTCTAAATGTATTGTTACAACCCGGTATCACGACAAGACGTGAAATAATCACGTTGGTCCACTTTGGAAAACGTGTAAATGTCACGGTTTAACCCATAGTAAGTTTAACCCCCTCAAACGTGAAACTTACACGTTTGCGTTAACGCGTTCCAGTGGAGAGATACCCGGATGTTGACCTATTCTACACGCAATCGCCTCTGCCATAACGACCTATTGGTTTTCATTAAACAGAGAAAAATGGAATTTTGTTTTATTGACGATCACTGAGAAATGTTCTATTATTTAAAATGCAAAAAAACCCATTTATTATCTTTTAGGTGAAAATGATTAATTTGCCTTGATCCACGCCGAAAAAAAAGTCTAAATGTCACGTTTTTAATGAAGTAGCCTAATGAGTAAAACGTCTATTTTTCTGGCGTCCCCCAGCTCCTCGTTTAAGCAGAGGGTACGCTAGAACAACGTATCGACATTAA